CCATATTACACCCCTGTGTATTAGACAGGGGTAGATAGTATTCCCACTTTTATGAAAGTAGTCTAATACATTTCAGGGATGAAGGCTTTGCGAAGTCTTCTGATTTCCAGCCCAGGATCCTATTCACTTCACAACCACCGCAGGTGGCTGAATAAAGTGATCACACTGCACATTCTCAAGGTAGAGTAGCACTGCGGCCAATTGAGTTCCCACTTTTTAAAGTGATTTCCACTCTTCCCACCTATGATTTTAAAATAAATTTTAATGAAAAGAAAAAAAATCTCCTGCTAATGCCATTTGGTAAGCAGATAATTGTCATCTTTAAATAAAAAGTGTAATTGCACCTGGTAGGCACCCAGGTCTTGTTGTTAAAGATGCCAAGCTGACTCAAAAGCTGGTATTTTCCTAAAGCAGGTAGATCCTAGGAAACTGGAGAATAAATTGTGCAGCACACCTAATCACAGAGCACAGGGTACAACCCAGGTCATGTTCCAATATACATGTAGTAAGGTATTTTACATTCCTTTAAGGCTCAGCGGGAGAGGAAAACCTAGATTTTAGCTGATTTCTCTTTAGGCAATGTATTGGCTGCAGTATATTTTTAGCAGGTAAGCAAAGCTCCCATTTTATGTATTATCGAGATTTCTCACCACTAAAATGAATTATATAGTCATACTAAATTGATAACTAGGTTCAAACGAATATGCTGATATAGGTGAACAGATATGCTGTTATGATACAACAGAGAGAATGTCTGTTTCTCAGTGTCTGCCTTTGTTAAACGAGGTTTTCATTCTCTGGATGGAAGGATAAGAGCTGTGAAATATGACCTTGCAATGACAGAATTTTAATGCATGGTGTATGTGACTGAAGCAATGTATGGCACCCTCTCCTTTATTGCTACGGATATTAGGGTATTTACGTAGTGCTGGTTCTCATCTAAATGTCGGGGTCTTCTCTAAGTCAAATAGCAGCTCACCAAAGCTCTATTTCTTAAAGAAGCCAGATAAAATTTTAATTAAAGGCAAAGGTTCTTGCTAAAATAGTAATGTCAATGAAAATGTGAAAGGCTACCTAAAAACAGGCCAAACACATTCTTTCACATTTTCCCAAGCAGAGTAATAGTCTTGCCACATATCTGAGCATTTTTTGAGTTACGGAAAAAAGCATTATTATGTCCTGATATGTTAAATAATTTTTCTTTCTCTGACCTTTTCTCCCTCTAGTTTTGCTAGTAGGAGACATTTCTTGCCCTTACTAATTCTGAAATGTGTAGTTTAACACTCTTCATTCAGATTACTGGTCTCTATTCTAAAGCAACATTATTTAATTTTCTGCTAATTTTTAAAGATCCACATGGCCTTCTCTTCTCTTTTAATGAACCCTTCTTTGCTAAGTATGAGAAGTCTGCTTCTTTTCACTGGAAAATTTGGTCTCAGTAGCTTTTGCAATTCTGTCCTTTGTGAATAGTACAGAAGAGAATAAAGAAGGTGGGGCAATAAAGAGGACATTTAAACAGAGGATAACAGTGAGTTCTAATTGTCCTGTGGCAGTTGAAATAAATGCCAATCTCCTTGCGCTTGATTTCATTTATTTCCCGTCTCACTAGTTTACAAAAGCCTGACTCTTTTCTCCTGCACAACAATCAAGTTATGGTCATGTGAATGGAGAACAATAGTCATTTGTTTTAATATCAACTCTTTCCTGGTTTCCCTGGCTGGTGAAGTTATGACTTTCATCTATGAGCCTAAATTTAAAATTATAATATTAGCATTTCCTAGAAACCATACTATTACAGATTTCTCCAATGCAAAGTTCTGGAGACACAATCCCTTTAGCACAATTATCATATTTAAAATTTACATCTGAAAATAGGCAAAATATTATATAAGACTAACAAATTTAAAATGAGAAGATAACTGGAAAGAAGAATGTGATTTTCTGCATTTGAATCTAGAATTAATATTCAGTACCTTATTTTCAGCACTAAATAGGGTTTTTAAAGGGAGATTCAAACTAACAGAACTAGCTGTTTTATTAGATGTATATTTCACAGGGAGGTGAGAGGAGTCTTTCAGTAGCAGAGACTAGAAAAGTTGAGATCCACTCTCAGTTAGGCTACAAACTCAATGGATGACCTGAAGCAACTTTGGGCCTCAGTTTCCTGAACTGCAAAATAAGAGTGCTACTAACTTCAGTATTTCATATTTCTATAATATAACTGGATAGGACAATATCCCAGCTAGCACAAGGAAAGGGAACTGCTTATTGTGAGTAGCAACTTAAAATTTTGTCCCATTGGTTTGTTTAGAAAACTCACTGTTCGGTTGGGGTAATGACCTTTAAGGAAAAAAAATATTTTCCTTAAATTTTTTTCTCTTTAATATAATAAACACTGTTCACTGCCAACATTATCTTCTGATGCAAACAACCTATTTGCCTGTAGCAAGTCTCTTTAACAATGCCTTGTGATTTAAACCCACTACCTGATGTGAATGCTCCAAGTAGGCACTGATTTGGGGGGTTATAAATAACATGGCTGTATAGATGAAGTCAATTCAGCTTATGCCTTGTCTACATTGCTTTTATTTCTTTAAGTGCCTCTATTATCACAGTCCCCCAATTCACATTTTTAAGTCACTAAACAAAGAAATACCAAGCATTTCACTTTTAACCTGAATTTTTTTTTAAAAAAAGGAAATTAAGTCTCAAATGTATTTATGTATTAATAC